ACACACACACACACACAAAAGAAGAGTGGTTTCCGAGACTGGATTAGGGTTGGGCTTCATCACCAATATAAATAAGGGCATCGTCCCCCTTTTCTTCTGAGAGCCACCAAGAGCAGGAAGCATAGGCACAAGAGAAAGAGAGAAAAATGGAGCAGACTTTCATCATGATCAAGCCTGATGGTGTCCAGAGAGGCCTGGTAAGTTTGTATCATCCTCGTTATTGTAAAGTTGGTTTCGTTGTCTAGTCTCTGTTATGGGTTATTTGTTTTCTGGATTTAAACTCACCATCGTTTGGTTGTGAGACAATAGAGAAAATCAAAGTGAAATTATGTGCGGCTTTCACTTTTTAGGGGTAAACTGATTTTGGGTTTTCAGTTTCTACATAGAATCTAGTGTTGTCAGATGTGGGGAAATCCTGGTGAGTAAGAGGGTTTTGATTATGTCAGATGTGGCCAAATTCTGGTGAGTAAGAGAGTTTTGATTATATCTGTGACTTTGGATGGGCTTAGTATGACTAGTTGATATTTGGAATTTAAGGACCATTAGAGCATTGTGTTTTTAAGCGCTGTTTATTTTTCATTTTCATGTGTTGTCCCTTTCATTTGGGGTTAACATTAGAAATTTTTAGTCTTGCTAAAACGTTGTGTGTTTTAGGTTGGCGAAATCATTGGCAGATTTGAGAAGAAGGGCTTCTCTTTGAAAGGTGAACCTCATTATATCTTCGTTACCTGTGTTGTGTTGACGGAAAGTGATCTAGATCAATTTTGCTTATCTGTGATCCTTGTGTGGCGTTTGAGTTCAGGTTTGAAGCTCCTCACTGTGGATCGTTCCTTTGCTGAGAGGCACTATTCTGATCTCTCTGCAAAGCCGTTCTTCAATGGTCTTGTTGAGTACATCATCTCTGGCCCGGTTGTTGCTATGATTTGGGAGGGTAAGAATGTTGTTGTCACTGGCCGGAAGATTATTGGAGCCACAAACCCTGCTGAGTCTGCTCCTGGAACCATTCGTGGTGACTTTGCAATTGATATTGGAAGGTATGGATCTTTCTTGTATCCTATATGTATCATGGATGAGGGATTTTTTGTATCTATTTGCATATCTGATTGGGAGAAATTGTTGTTGTTACAGGAATGTTATTCACGGGAGTGATTCAGTTGAGAGTGCAATCAAGGAAATTGCATTGTGGTTCCCTGAAGGCCCTGTCAACTGGCAGAGCAGCGTTCACCACTGGGTCTATGAGTAAAACATATGATTGGGGTTGAAGAGCCAGCTGCTGCTTTTTCCATTTCTCTTCGTTATGAGTAATTGGTGTTAGTGAACTTAAAACAAGTTTTGACTACGTTTGATTGTGGTTTGACTGGCTGTTGTTGTGCTTATGATATGATGTTTCTGCTAATGTCAGTGCTTTTACTCTTATTATGAATGAATGAGGAGTTGAACCTCCTTCGTAATGTTATTGGGTAGAGAATTTTGATTGTGGCATTTTGCATGTTGTGCCTTCAATTGTTTCCGCCATAAGCTGATGGTAGAAATGAAAGAGTAAAGAAATCTCAAGATCCCACTGCTCCTGTGTTGTGAGGACAAAAAGGCATGATGATGGCAGAGCACGCATTGCGGTGAAGAATGACTCACGACTCTTAATGGTTTGATGAGTCTAATTTAAGCAAAAATGGAGAGAAGATTTGAATACAGTTTGCTTAATAGCTGGGACAAGATATCTTCTGCTTATATTGGAGTGACAATGTGTTTGAAGACCGCTAGAGACAGGATTACCGGAACCAATAATGCAAATGTGACTCGTGATGGGGATTAGTAGTTGAACTGTTGAAGTTGATTGGACTCAGCGTACAAAACAAATGCAATCTCATATCCGCAAGAGGAATCAATTTCTGTTATTCTCAACATTACCAACCCCCTAATTAATTTTCTGCCTTTGTTTATAAATCGGACAGAAAGCTGAAATCAAAAATCTATTTTTCCTAAACAATCAAGAAGGGAACACCCTTTAAAATATGCATCACATTTACAATATCTGGCTCAAAAGAAAGAGAGATTGTAAGTGAAAGAGGGTTCTCTTCTTGCCAGTACATGCCATCTGTTAACTCTCGGACCAGCAACTCTATCGAGCAAGAAGGCTATAGGAGGGTAACTCTTCCAGACGGGTTATATCTTCAAGCAGAAGTTCCCTTTCCAGTTGACGTCTTGTGGCTTTCATCACTGTCTGTAAAACAAACACCCATATGCAAGGACAAAAGGATAACTGATTGTAAGTATATTGAGCCCATCTTTTCTATCCAATATCCATTTATCTGTCTAGAAGGAACTTTCTGGTTGAAGAACACATACATTGAAGTCCATGTAGGATGCTTGCATAGAGAGCCACTGCTGATCCATAAGCTTGAATGTTATGCAGTAGAGAAGGTCAAATGCTGACTCATTTTCTATCCAGGCAGAAGGCAAAAATATTCAGTCACAAATATTTGCTCATGGCCATTTACTTACAAGAGCATTATCGTAACCCAAAATATGATAATAATACCTGCAAGGAACTTCAAGAAAGTTGCTCCAACAATTGTGCGGGGTTTAACTGTAGCCATCCAAAACCATGGAAAACATAATAAGATAATCTCAATTAGCAAGTTTTTTCTCATGCATATGCTGCCAAGTGCCAAGCACAAACATAAAAGTAACGAAGAGGGTAAATTACCACGAGATGAACAGATGCACTTGCTCAACAAAGTACAATTATGCTATGAAAACAAATTAAAGGATTAATACTTTTTGTTGGTGATGGAGATGTCCTAAAACTTCAGAGATGCTCTTTTAGGTGTTTTTCCTTTATAGACATATTTTGTGTGTGTTGGGAGGGTGAGAAAAAGGATACCTGCTTCAAGATCAAGCATTTGAATGAGCATGAATGTGATGTTCACACCAGCTACAGCAAATGGGTATTCCCATGCAGATCTATCACCTTCCCTCTTTTGAAGGAGATCCTGGAAGGATTTCTGCATTCAGATTTTATAAAATAATGTTCAGGTTCAATAAAACACAAAAAATACATACAGACTATGGATTTGCAAAAACTAAGTTGTAAAAAGGGACAGATAATCACAAAAGCTATATATGTGCTTCTTTAGAAACCTGAAACCCACACTTTCCACACAATAGCTAATCACCTGGCATTTCTAGACCAATTAAGCAAATGTTAGTCCTTCTTTAACATCAAACAACTAAGGTTTTCCTCTCGTTCTTCTTCATATTTACATTAATGTACTCTACCTTAAAATTGAAAAAATTACTCATTGCATCTTGGTAATTAAAGTGTGTAAGTGCCCTTATGTTAGCACAGATCTTTAGATAACTTTTCCCACTTGCAGACATTAGAGCTGTTATGAAACCCAAAGGAAGAAAACTGAAAAATATCATAAACATGCAAAACCCTGGAGCAAAAATTTAAAGGTGTGATTAAAGTCAAACATCACATACCGGGAAATTCCTAGCAAAAAACAATAAGTTCTCCAGTGATATAAAACCACCACCCCTGTGCAATAAATCCAAATATGAAGAAAAAATAAAAGCAGATAAACTCATTTTGTACAGAAGAAATAAACAGAATGCTCGACAAAGTAGATCAGAAATGATGCAGGACTAAATTACCTAAAATCAGTTGATGGATCTTTCCCCTGCCAACCCATTTCCTTCCATTGCTCAGATATCAAGCTGTGAAGTTCTTCTTCAGGAAATGAAGCATTCCATAAAGCCCTCAAAGCATCCTGTATGAGAACATCAATGATAAAATAGATGACATGCCTGTTTCATACTTCAGAGTTGAAGGCTTAAATTTCAAATTACATCCAAAAAGGAGATTGAAACAAAAGAATAGATACCCTGTGCTCGGGGATTGAACTATCGTAGGCAATATCTATACGGTTCTGGAGCCTTTGCAAGCATTCTTCCTGACAGCATGAAAAACCAAGAGATAGTAGATGATATATTAATCAACTATCACACAGGTCAATATTGTTGACTATTCAATTTAATAATGCAGCAGACACCTCATCTCCTGCAGGAGCCCTAACATCATATAAATCTATAAAAGCCATATCAGAAAGGTTGTTTGAATTGTAAAATGTTACCTGGGCAGGTGTTAAATCAAATGAAGGAAAATCGTCACTCTCTCTTCTCTGCACACAAACACAGGAAAGACCTCGGCCCAACCATGCTGCTGATCCTGCCACAACCTCAGCTGAAGAAAATAGAACAGTCTGCTAATGAAAACACAGTTTCTAAATCTTCAACAGCAATGCTAGAAGACTTAGCAAGTAACCCTTACATTAAGAGGTAAAAATCAATTAATGACAACATCTAAGCACCTCAATGCACAACTAAGACTTAACAAAGCGAGCACATTCGACATGAATGCATAACAGGGTGGTACGTAAAAGAAAGGGGCTCATAACAACCCAGCAATCTTTGCAAATGCTAGGTTTTCATGTCCATAAAAAGAAACATTAAAAACCGGTTTTATCCACAAAAACAGTAGCTCAAGAAAAGCAATGAGGTCACAAAAATCACACAAGGAGATATACATGTAGTTGAATGTAGCCTAAAAAGCTCCTAAGCTGTTAATAAGAATCACATACGAAAATTCAAACAGCATACAGTTCTAAAAGTTCTTACTGCTCAACAATCAAATTGAAACAAAACAAATTTTCCAAACACAAATCCGTACATCAAACAAGCTAACTCACCCAAACAAATCTGTACGTCAGAACACATGGGGCACACCTAATACATGATTTACAACCTCCAATGCTAAATCTATAGATTATAGATCCAAAATCCACTCAGAAAACCTGGCAGTAGAAAACTCTACCAACTACAAAACCAGAGGAGAATCGCAGATTCGCATAGACACCTTTTCCAGGGAGGGTAGGGGGAGAAAGTTGGGTAAACTATTACTGTTTTTAACTTTAGAAAAGTCAAATTGAGAAAGATAAAAAATGAATTTATAAGGACAAGTATTATTACCAGAGGTTGAATGGCAGGCGTTGCCTCGCTCGAGACTGTGAGAAATCCTCCTTACAGCGACAAACGACCCTCCTCCTCCTCCTCCTCTATCGTCCATTTCTTACTTCTCTTCCTTCACTGACTACACTTGGCCAACTTCATTCTCTCCTAAAATGAAATCGGAAACCTTAATAAATGACTCCTCCGGGACCACTGAAAACAGAAACAAAATCACAATCAAATAAACAGACTCTCTCAAGTACAAATTCGAATCTCATAAAACCGAAATCGAAGCATAACGGAACCACCATGAACTCGATCTGGAATAATCCAGAACGCAAAATGTAGGGCAAAATAGCACAGAACCTTACCGGAGCAGCTAGAACTTGTTTAAAGAAAACCGAAATCTCTACTTCTATCAAAACAGAAGAAGAAAGGAGAAGAATCTTTAAAAGAATCTTTAAAAGAAGAAGAAGAAGAAAGGTAGGGTTTCGAGATCTACAAAAATGGACGACGCCATTGCAAATCACAGAGCTCAGGTTGTGCGAATGGTTTGCGTGCTCTTTTCTTTGACTGCGTTTGGACGGAGGGAGTGAGGGGGGGCGAATTTTCAGAGGGAGATCGGGGATTACGAAAAAAGAAGCTAAAAATCTTTGCCTAATTTGTTCGTAAAGTGTTCGTAATTAAAAAGGAGAAAGGAAAGGGGGGAGTAGGAGTATGATAATATAAGCAACTGTGAAATGATGGCGATCAGTCGTGCCTCGAACGGAAAAAAAGGGCCGCCGGTGGAAAGGTGAATGGTCTGCCGACTGGGCCATCTGAAGTCAGGCTAGTTTGCTAGGGATCAAGGGTGTTTTTGGTATCACAAAACAAAGTTATGTCTAGTATGCTCCTTCATTTACTTCTAATTTGTTGCGTTTTCTAATTATTTGCACAAAAGTTTGTTTCTTTCCTATCATGGCTAAGAATCAAAGATTTATTGGTGTGAAAGAAAAGAGTTTAGTTCTCTTTTAGGGAGATTTTAAATTTAAGTTTTATTAGTAAAAAAACAAGCGTTGTAAGGATTTTTCCTTAATGAATCCACTTGAATTGATTTTAAACAGTGTAGTTACTAAACATCAAGTAGTTAGTACAAAAAAAAAAAAAATCATGGTGAAGAGGTTATGATTTGGTTGGTAAAGAAATTTATTTCATTTTTAGTAAGATATTACTCTTAAAATAATTATGAATATTTAAATGATTATATCTTATAATATTTTTCTTGATAAAAACCATAATATATAGAGTAATGATATTGATATGTGAATAATTTATTTCTATAATTTTTTTTATCACTATTAATAAGATAAAATAAATAAATCATTAAATGATATATAAAATTATAAATAAAAATCATTTCTTATCATTTTAGAAACATATATTAACTATAAAAATTAAGTTTATCATGGACTTACACTAGATTGTAGTTCTATAGTTATATCAGTTTTTTTTTTCAATGTTGGTTTATACCATGTGATTTGAATTTAGAATCTCTCACTTTCAGTAAAAAAAGATTATTACTTAATTATTTAAATCGTTAAGATAATTATCTCAGTTTTCTTTTCAAAGCAATATGTATATTTTTTTCAAAAGACGTAGTTGCCCCTGAAGATAAAGGATAAATGTCACATGGGATGTTGGGGTGTGGCGTGACGGGAAAAGTCCCATTTGCGTGGTGGGAGAGGCCCACCGGAAAGTTGAGTGGAGGTCTAAAAGCCTCAAAATTAGTAAGTTCGTAGGCTAACCAACAGGTTATTTCCATAAAGGTTAAATGCCAATCATATCCCTAAACTTTCAATTTTGAACAATTTTAATTTGTAAACTATTTTTTTACAATTGTTTGTCCTTCCGTTAAGTCTATCCAGCTGAATTTTTTTTTTTTTTAATTTCCTTTACTAATTTGAGTGTACAAAGTTTAAATACTAAAAATATGTACTAAATATATTAGTTTAGAGATAAAAATGTGCTTAAAATAAAAGTTTAGAAACAAGAAAAATGTCAATTGTACATATTTAGTGGACAAAACTAACAAAATTACTAAATAAATATATATACATATTATAGTTAAATGATAAAAAAATGAAGAAAAAAAAGTTCAAGAACTAAAATTGTTTAAAGTTAAAAGTTTATGAACTGATTTGGCATTTGACCTTCCATAAATGAAACCCACCAAAAAGGGCTCACGGTCCACACGAATGGCGCATGGGTCTCCGGCAGGGTCATGAATTGTGCATCAACCTTGCACGCAAACACTTATGTCATTGCCTTTCCCTTTAGTCCTTTACCCAAACTTCCAAAAGATATAATGAAAAAGTTAACCCACTTTATTCAGAAACCAAGACCAAGATGCTACTACTAATTTTTTTTTTTTCTTCATCTGTAATGGTGAGAACCAACATGATGATAATTGGTACACCAAAAGAGTTGGGAATGGATGCCATCTAGCAATGCTAAAAGATTTTGAAAAACAGTTTCGTACAAAGCAATCCAAGTGTCTTATAAACTTTCCAACTAAGCGTACAACATTGTGATGGATGAGCATTTTGGGTGGACAGCAGCAACGGTTACTGGACAGACTCATGTGGTCCACAACAGAGAAATTTGTAAAAGCCTGACATTCAATTTTAAAACATTAATTATTAAATCAAAGGTTTTTTTTTTTTTTTTTAATGTTATGAGTTTTTTTTTTAATTTAATAAAATAATATTTTATAATTTAAATTATAAAATATTTATAAAAAAATAGATAAAGGTTTTCTAGCTCCGCAAACATAGGTGTTAAGGTTATTTTGGTACTACTATTATTTAAGGTTCGTCTACAAGGCACCTTTAACTTGCATAACATAAACATAATATAATTTCACTTGATCCTTGTAATTGTAAAAACCTTCAAGTTTTTTCCGGTCCAAGTGTTTTTTTTTAATAAAACTTAAAATTTTGGGAAGTTCTTAAGATAGGTACTCTGATACTTAAGTTAATAATAATCTAGTTTATTCAAAGAAAAAATGAAAGAAAAGCTCTAGGTTGATTTTTAATTACTTATAGCAAGTGACTCTTATGAATATTTATAAGCCTTAATAAGGTATTCACGTAACATTTTGAGCGAAATAATCAAATCTGATGTGTCTATCAAAGTGTGAATCTTGGAAATGAAGATTAGATAAATGTGATCTTACTGTAGTCATTGTGTAACTAAAAAAAGCTGAACTTAGGCCGTACCTCATTCATTAAGTGATTTAAGCTCCAATCTAACTTAGGTCAATAACCAAAAGTTTATATAACATACATATAATATGTCCAATATCATTGATCTCAAACCTACACTTACAATTCTTTACCTTTTTTTATGGAACGTTTATTATACATTTTTTAATCTGGGTAGAAACGTGTAACATTTTATTCTTTTAATAAAATGTGAATATTGTGAAATATATAATTAATTTTTGGTGGTAATAAATTCCAAACTTTTAAAGAAAAGTTTGATTAATTTATTTTTTAAAGGTATAATTTAGAAAATAATAAATATAATTTTTTTTATAAATATGTGTTAAAAAATTAAAACTTAAATTTTAATTTATTAATTATTTAATTAAATTCATCTACTTAATATAAATATTAAAATTAACATCAATTTTTATGTTTTTTATATGTATTTATAACAAAAAAATATCATTAACTTATATAAAAAATGCAAATTAAAAAAAAAAACTTTTTCAAAATTAGACTTCACAACCGTACGCAACAAAGGCGAATGAAACAGAAACATCGATCCTTACGATCTCGAAATTTTAGTTCAGATTCATTCAATTTTAATGTGCCACCCGTATGTTATGCCTGCCAAATGTTTATATGTTTCCTATTTTTGGCCTTTTTGTTTTTTTTTCTTTCTTTCTTTATTTTTTCTGGTATAGGCCTTTTTCTTTATTGTTTTTTTTACTAATTTTTCAGTATTCGATAATTATATTAAATCTTGATTAATTTGGAATTGAATTGTGTTGGACCAAAAAATTTCTTTCAATATATATTTTTCTATTTACAATATTTAAATTCAAAATTTTATTTAAAAGAAATCGAATTTTTTTTATTCATTCAGAACAATAAACCATTGATTTTTTTTATTGTTAGTACACTTGCTACTCTATTGATTGTCAGGTGGAATCGGCTTTCTTTATTTTAGGGATAATGCACCCATCTGTTGGCAATCCAACGTTGATTATAAAATTCAGATTTTAAACATTATTGCAATAAAAAAAAAAAAGGCTTCACAGACCGAGTCATGTTATGAATAATTTGTCTTTATTCTAACTAAAAAAAAATTAAATTAACTATCTAATTCAAAAATGACATTCTTTTTTATTAAAGCTTTTGAATCTCATTGAGTTTTTATTGATTTAAGAATTGAGTGAGATCTCATTAAAAAAAAAAAAAACTCTTTTGGTGTATATTTTAGAACTTTATTTAAAGATAATTAAAATCTTTTCACTTTACCTAGTAGACTGTTGGTATTTTAGAATAATATATTTGTAAACTTATAATATAATATATATTTATATAATTCATTTTTTTCACTCATAAATATAATTGTAATATTATATATATCAACTTATTTAATAACATATCATATTTGTTTGATGTAATGTTATGATTGTAAGTTTATATTTATGATTGTAATATTGTAACTATAACATTACCAAATCTAATTATACACATAAACTAATTCAAGAATCAAGCTACATAAAATTGTTCTTCAATGGCTTGTGCCATATTTAATTAAAAAGATTTAAAACCAAAAATTCCTCAATGCATGCAGCTTCCTTAAATCATCAATTGATCATGATAATTAACTGACACATAAGTTTTTTTTTTTTTTTAATAGTCCAAGATCATGTTAAGATCCTTGGAGATTAATTAATTCATGTTCAAATTTTTTAATACTCTCATGCATAAAATGTTAAATATATGAAAAGAATCATCTTTTTATTATTGAAAATTTCCAGCCAAATCATTAAGAAGTTTGCACGTGAATATATACATACAACCAATATTTTCTTTAGAATAAGTAGTTTATATAAATTTTAAAAAAGAAAATGATATTCATGCATTATTCACAGTTAGGCACATGAAATGGGGTCCTACATTACACAACTTTGAATAAAAAAGAAAAGGTTGATGAAATGAAATGTAGTGAGAAAAGGTGTCTTGCTTTTGAGGCAACATTAACGTCCATAAATTGTGTAGTGGAAGGGATGGGATGGGTATCCATCCTAAAAGATTGAAAAAGAAAAGTGGAAAGCCTCTTTTGATCTCTTGCTTTCTCCGTTTCAACTTTCAAGTTTCAAGTTTGGTGCACTAGTTTGGTCACTCACCTAACTCCTTTGCATCCTTCATTTTAAAGTCTTCTCAAACAAGGGACCACCCATTAGAAGCAAGGAAAAAAGGGAGTTTCTTTTACAAATTATGATTAGGACTTAATTCATGCGCATTTTTAAAGTATATTTGATTTGAAAGAAATAAAAATATGAATTTTTTAAATAATTAAATTAACTACATTATTTTTAATGTTATAATTTGATTTATTAAAAATATCATCTTTTGATTTCTCTTAATTTTTCTCAAATCAAATATACTCTTAAGTCTCTTTTTTTTTTTTTATGATACACCAACAAATTAGTTATTTAATATTATAGAAATTTAAGTCTTTTGACCTAAAATTCAAATTAAGGTTTAAGTTAGTGGATAACAATTTACTAAAACGACTAGGTTTCATCAAAGAAATTAAGAAATTTTTTAAAAAGGGGAGATTAAAAAAAAAATAAAAAGAGAAAATAAGTTAGTTCGTCCCAGTATAAGCCCAGCCCAAGTTAGCAAATAATATAGGCCTTGATAAAATTTAGTAAGGTTATCATAAATTTAAGGAGCTTTCTCATTTTAGGCCCATGGATGATGCCGTCATGGGTTCTGGACCAGCCCAATATGGACCCAACTTAATGGGCCCTTCTCGCGTTTACATATATACATACTAGTCTATTCCCTTATTACGACTTTTTCGTCCACCCTTAGCTCGTAAACATTTTTCAATGGAAGACAAATTTTATTTTATTGATCATAATACCCTTTTTTTTTATTATTATTTTCTATTTTTACAAACATTAGTCAAATTTTATTATAAAAAGTATAAGGAATTCTCTTATTTATCTATTCAAAAATGCAATTTACCAAAAAAACCAAACCCAAAAATTAAATAATCCTTAACCCTCAAACAAGCACTAAATAAAATTTGCAGAAAAATACCAAACACAATCATTGCACGCTCCAGCAAAATAAATAACAGTGCCTCATATCCACACTTTATCTTGTCCCCTGTTGTTGCCATGCTTGCGATATTGCTTCAAATGAAACTTCAGCATTTTAACAGCAGCAGCACTACACTCAGCCGCCCTTTGTATCCAGTCCTGGAATGAGAAAACACAACCAACCTGCACCTTAATTCTTAATCCATACAAATGATTTGGCTTCCATGGCATCCAGCAGTTTTTTGTTTTCCCCACAGTCCCCTTTCGTTTTTAAAAACTTTGACATTAATTCTCTCCATTACCATAGAAACCAAAACACCACCAGAAATATACAAGTCTTCATTGATCATAATACTAATCCAAGGCTGCTGGTTTATTGGTGAGGGCTGTTAGGTTTCACATGTAAGAAACATTAGGAGTTAGTTTGACAATACTTATCACATATATTTTATTTTTTTATGTAGTATCTTATCTAAAAAGTGTAAATTTATAATTTTTTATTAATTTTTTCATATATTTCTAGAATTTTAAAAAAAAAAATACTACCAGTCTACCACAATACAGCAGTACACCGACAAATAACAAAACCTAAAGCCTACCCTTTCCTAGTTGAAAGCAGGTATAATGAGAAAACGAAATGGGAAGAGATGGAAATGGACAATTCGTGAGACATAATTGGACCCACCAAATATCGGATGCCTCACTCTACCATCATTAACTTTAAGAAGACTTTAGAAATTGATTCAAATGCCATGATTGTTGCATGGAATTCTGAGTATATACTGCCTTTGCCTATAGCTACCCTCTCTGTCTCTCTCTCTCTCTCTTTTTTATTGCTTCAATTTGTGATCTCTTTGGAAGGTTTGTTTATGACCCTTTTGAAACTTCAATTTTGAAATCATGGAGACATGTGGAGGCTTGCACCAGTTGGTAACATTTCTTTCTCTCTGTGTTTCTATATTTCAAAATACAATGTCTGATCAAAGGGAAATTTTCTTTTCTTCTGTACAAAGGAACAAGAGATTTGAAATTGAAGCTGTGAATGATGGGTACCTAATGAAGAAATCTGTGTTGAAACTTGTTGATGTTTATCGTTTAACAAGACCGTGCAGGTGCTATCTGACATGGTTTGCAATGATTATTGTTGTCCATGTACAAACAGATGCCTTCACCACAAACAGTATAATTTCCTTTCTCTTGTCTTGACTAATGAGTGTAGTTAATACATTGTACAAACTTTTTGTTTCAAATTTTCAAACTTTGCAACTAGCCCTTCCTGGGAGAAAATTGAAAGGATACAGCAAGGTACTACTAATACTTAATGTCATAACCAATCTGAACAAATTAACTACAACGCCAGCTTCATTAATGAGATTTCAAGACTTTAATATGAACATATATACTCCTAGAGATGAGTATTATCAATTAATCAATCAAGTTACCTTCAAACAAAAGTGAATAAGATGATCACTAATTGGGTTATACCAGTTATTCGCTGAAATGCAATGATTTCAGAAGCTTCTTTTTGTGGAAAAGATTCCACATATACCTCATTTTCTCGCTGCACATGCACTAATTAATTGGCTCTTTTTGTGATCTTGAAAATTACTACTACAATAAAAGAGTATTTTGTGTTTTGTAGTTAGGCTCTACTGAATTACAAAAACAACAATCATTAGATGGGGAGAAAGTTTCTAATATTAGGTGACTTATTTTTGTTTAATAATTAATTATGTTGTGTAGTTTCAGTATAATTTAAATTATACAACAATTAAGAAGCCCGTGTGGCTCAAGTGGCTACTTAACCATTGGTTAAAGGGTATCTTACCCTGGGTGTGGGGTTCAATTCCCATCCCTTCCCGCATTTCCCCGTTATAGCTGTGGCCGCTGTTGTCCAAAAAGGCAGTCGATGGATTGCACCTTGTCCAGGTTTAATACCTCTCATTAACAATTTTAACCTTACTAACATCTAACCATTGCTCTTGTCAAAAAAAAAAAAAAAATTATACAACAATTAAGAAGCCCGTGTGGCTCAAGTGGCTACTTAACCATTGATTAAAGGTATCTTACCTTGGGTGTGGGGTTCAATCCCTATCCCTTCCCGCATTTTCCCGTTATAGCTGTGGCCACTGCTGCCCAAAAAGGGCAATCGATGGATTGCACCCTTATCCAGATTTAATACCTCTCATTAACAATTCTAACTTTACTAACATCTAACCATTGCTTTTGTAAAAAAAAAAAAAAAATTATACAACAATTTTTTATAATAAAAACACAAAATTTCTCCAACACTTGGGCTGTATGTTTGAAAGTTGCCTGTACCTTTGGATAATATTTTCGCTTTCTGGAATTGGAAGTAATTGCAGTGAGTTGGAGGAGGAGTTGGTATCGTGGAGGAAGTTGAGAGGGTCTTTTCAAGGTGAGAAAATAGAAGTGATCAGTGGAAAGGGGAGAAAAATGCATAAAGAGGAAGCTGTATATATATATTTATATATATTCTCCTTAGGAGGGGGTGGGGGGGATGGGGTAAGGAGTTCAAGTTCTGAGATCAGTTCTTGGTTTTCTTTTGCAGGAAGGAGGGGTCTGAGAGTGGTCATGTTCTGCCTAGGTTCCGTAATCTGTGTGTATGTATTGGAATTTGATTTGACAGGATTTAAGTCTCTTTCTAATAACTTTTCATCTTTCAACTTTCATTTTGGACATTTTGGCATGGATGGAAGTTTTCGTCTGCCCCACCACTTATTGCCCGTATGACTCTCACATTGCTCCGTCCCCCACTCTCCAAAGATTTTTTTTTTTTTAATTGGCAAAAATGATTTTTTATTAATAATTTATTTATATATATTTGCATCTTCCAAGTTAATTATTATTAGTCAATGGTTTTTTTTTTTTTAATCTAAAGGAATTGAAAAAAATGTAAGATGAGTTTGTTTTGAGATGCACCTTGTGTTTATGATTTATCTTACCTGTTAATAGAGTCACATTATTTGAAAAATACCATTAATTAATTGATTTGGAAAATGATGAATATATGTTAAATTTATGGTTATACTTTTTTCTAGTATTTTTCTCTTTTTTAATGAAATTAATTTTGGCTTGTCTGAACTATAAAAAATTGTGTTTTTTTTTTTTTTTTTGCAAAATATATTCCCTTCAACAATAATTAAGGTTAAAAATAATTTGTACAGACAAGACTGCTCCACAATATATATATATATTCTCATGTCTTTATAAGCAGGTAACATATATGTCCTATTCTCTCTTGTTTTTTTTCTTCCCTTAATAATTCGTTGATGCTTAGAGATCAACTGCACTGTAAACAAGTCTTAATTATAGCATATTAACATATTATATGAAGATTTTTTTTTTTTATCAGCCAAAAGCAAAACATGTTATTTAGTACATATATATGAAAAGAGGAAAACGAATACCAAGAATATTTTCCCCCACTAGTTGACCTATTACTAGCTAATTAATAATTCTTCTACCCGCTCGTGTGCTTCACTTCAAGAAGAATCCGATCCAGACTAGAGAAAAAAGTTATTTCCATCTCTTCCGGCCAGTTAAGTGCACAGAGGGAATTGAAGATCGAGGTTGGTTTCAAGTACTTTGATCAGACGAAGATGGAAGGAGAAAGATCAGGTGTTCAAAATTACGAGCTTCAGGTTTATAATTCCTTTTCCACTACTCCAGTACAGACAATCAACGAAGATATGGGTTTTGTGCAGTTTGAAGAAAACCAGGTTGTAAGTTTCTTGGCTCCTTCACAGGCAGCTGCAACTGCTTCTCAGATATCTCATCATCATCATCATCATCAGCCTCTGAATACCAACAACACAATAGGGTTTACTAGTCATGACGATCAGCAGGTAATTAACCAGAAACCAGATAATTAATTAAATCTTTTTTCTTTGTTTTTTTTCTCAAAAACAATCTTAAGTATTAGCACTACTTTGATAATTTATCTTGATTAATTATATTTTTAGGTGGAAAGATTAGATCCGAAGGCTAACAAGGAGAATAATTGCACTGGAAATGCTAATGATGATGGAAGTAATTCATGGTAATTAATTAATTATCTCTCTCTGTCTCTCCTGAGTGCATCAATATATACAACTACCTACCTTCATGCATGCTCAATGGCTAGATATGGCTCAATATGTGGAAAGGAATATGCTCAATGTTTTCAGCTTTTTCCTAGTGGCCGGCGTAGTGGGCGCTCAATTTGGCTTAATGGAAGTCTTGATATTTATTCCACATATATATAAGTGGCCATCATCAAGAGATCATCTCACCACTAATTAACTTTCTCATTGAATTCATTCATGATAAAAGAGAGAGGTTAATTTGGGTGTTAATTAATTTGGGTGTAGGTGGAGGAGCTCGGCTTCGGATCAGAAGAGCAAATTGAAGGCGAGGAGAAAGCTTAGAGAACCCAGGTTCTGTTTCCAAACTAGGAGTGATGTGGATGTGCTAGATGATGGTTATAAGTGGAGAAAATATGGCCAGAAGGTCGTTAAAAATAGCCTTCATCCAAGGTACCTAGCTACCTACCAGCTCTCCTGTATTTATATAAATTTAACTGATCATCAAGCATGCAAAGAGATAACTAATTACGTACTCCCCCTAGCTAGCTTCATTCATGCATGCTTATTGGTATAATTAATTAAATCAATCTTCATGATATCCTTTTTAAAATTAATACATATGCACTTCATTAATTGATAGGATAGCTAGTTTGTTTATAAACATATCTTTAATTAAGTACTTGTTAATTTTATATCTGTTCTAATTAAGATGTGATATAAATTAAAGGTAATTTATCTTTTAAATTTTTAAATATTTTGATAAGTATAAACTGATTTTTCGATTTAATAATTTAACTTCAAGTTTTAATGATTAAGTTCAATTAATTGAAATTTCAACTCTTGTAAATTACTTGAAAAATATTATCATTCTCGATGATTCCCTATGTACAAAAAAAAAAAAAATTATTCTGATCAGTACAACAGAGAATATAATGATAACAGGAATATAAAGTTAACAAGAACATATACAGATGAAGCCAAGATTTGTGAGGGTTTCTTTCTCATCAGAATGATCAGAAAGGAATTTACAGTACAAATGCACATGCTTCCAGTACATCATTAGTTTTCGGGAAAGAAAAATGAGAATTAGGGAAGTTAGGTCCTACCATTTCCTAGCTAACTTCCAATAGCTAAGCTAGTTTTACCTGCTATGACAATAATTGCTAATTGAAAGGCAGATCTTCAGAGGAAAAAACCTTTAATTTGTTTTGGCATAGAAAAATTCTGCATATACATACCACATGACAGACTTATTTCTGTGATCCTCATACCTTGATTTTCAGCTGCTTTTGTATGCTCTTTGACAAATGCCTGTTCAAATTGGCATTGCAGGCATGTTGGAAACTTTTGTTACGAATTACTCCCTTGAGCTTTGCTGTTTTATATGCAATTCATGAAGTTCTATATATATATATTTACAACTATTAATTAATGTCAACATTTTGTTAATTATATACATATATATGGATTGGCAGAAGTTATTACCGTTGCACCCATAGTAATTGTCGAGTGAAGAAGAGAGTGGAACGTCTGTCTGAGGACTGTCGAATGGTGATAACAACTTATGAAGGTAGACATAACCACTCCCCTTGTGATGATTCTACTTCATCTGAACATGAAGGCTTTACCTCTTTCTAGCTAGTACCTACCTACGTAGTAATATACCAAATTAAAACGTTATTGTAATGGATATATATAGTGTACGTTGGTATTGTATGCTTTTTTAGTTTTAGTAATTAATTTAGGCTCTTCCTACATCATGTAATTTTATATCGATCTCTTGCAAGATGTACATGCATGGAGAGAAAAAGGAATTGACTTGTATATGTAGATGTATCAAATGTTGTTTTCTTCACATAATATTTCTTTCTTCAATTTTTTTTTAGCCTTAATTCAGAAATATGGTATTCTTTTGCTCAGCCATATATATGTATCTTAATTTGGAAAATCTAAGCTGCAATGGGTGAGAGGCGAGAGAAAGAATTAGTAAGCTTGTTAAATCACAATTGTAAATGCACTTAATTATTTTCAAAGAGACGTATTCCTAATTCAAAAATTAGAGATTAAAATTCAGTCATTCAAATGCTTTAACATAAGAACTACAGAAGAGATATTTTGTGACAATACTATGTAATTAAAAATTTGGGTCCTCAACTTTAGGATTTTCTATAGTTTTTATCTTTCAACTTTTTTATGTTTTTTTTTCATTCTTAAACTATGAAAAATATGTTGTTTTAGCCATTCCATCAATTAATCCACTATATTTGTTCATATATATATATTTAGTTCCTTAATTTATAATATATCTATATATTTCTTTTTTTTTATTTAGCCAAAAGAAGTTTTATATTAAAAGAGTACAAAGGTACTATAATCTATTATATTATTGGACAATGATAGGCTTACCCTCTGCCATTACACATCTATCCACACACTAACGGAATCCGTCAAGTATACTAATGGTCTCCGTTACACACCTAACCCCTAAACTTCTCCATCTTCTTCAAATCTAGAGAGTGCTGGGTTTCTTAATCTTGCTGCCATTAATGTAAGAAGCAAACATCCAACCAAAAAAAGTGTCCAACGTTGCCTGTTGCTGCCAACATTCCATC